TCTGACTCTGAGTTCCATACATCTACACTCCCTCCAAGGCACACCTGGGCCAGGTTCATCCATTGATGATCCGATAGCGCTAGCGTCCAGTAATGAGAGACAATCGGCAGTGGAGAGTTCAGCAGCTTCAAAAGACCTACTTGAACAGGATTTCGAGCAATGATATGGTATGGTGCAGTCTTTACATCTTACTTAGGAGAAACTAACCTTACACGCTGCAAGTGTACTACCACATTTACGACGAGCAAGGTGAAACCGTGTCAAAAACATCCTTCGACCAGAACACTCCTTCTTTGGGTCGCGTCAACACTCTCGCTATTCCACCACCTCACACTCTGGCTTCATTGAAGAACCACCTTATCAAATCCGAAAATATCTTGGCCCCCAATGTTCAGATCTTCCAGGATGAGGACACAAGTCTCCCTTAAATGACACAGATGTCATCGCTCTTGTTTCTAATTCTTTTCTGGGGTGTACGGAGGATCAGCCGATAGCGGTAACGTACGAAGTGCAGGGTGCAGGGGTTGCAAACAATGGTAAGTAAGGATTGTCTGAAATGCTAGAGTGCCGTCGTTCTCAAGTCTTTTAATGAGTTCTAGTTAATAATGAGAACCCGAACGACAGAGAGGCGCAACTCCAGTCTGTTTTAAATCAAACAAGAGAAGAGCTACGAAAAGCCAAAGAGGAAATAGAAAGACTGAAACAGACACACGTGCGCGAGCTAGATGAAGCGCGAGGATCATCATCTCAACCCCAACCTCATTCTTTGGTGGTGAGTAAACTAAAACATAAATTGCCCTGACTCAAACGACAACGGAGTCGCAGATGGGGAAACTTCAAACGATGAGAAAACTTAGAGCAACGCAGGATTGGAGTGAGTGCCAACATTGTCCACTAAATGGAATCTTGCACCTGCTGTCGCTGACTTCTGAATGACATATAGATCTAGGGGACTGCGATAAAAGGTGGCACTCGATGAAACTGGGGGATATCTTTCACACAAATGGTGTTGAGAGGAAGGAGGAATGGAGAAACAACGGGGCTGGCAAAATCTATAGTATGCATGCGTATTCGTGGATTTGGTATATGAGTTCCAGAACACTGATATCACCTTTAATTCAAGAATTTGATTGCTATCTGGCGACGAACTCTGCTGGAAGAGTAGCTTGTAAGTGCCCCCTCATCATCGTCGTCACAAATAAGTTGCTGAAAAACTCTGTCTTTTCCAGTTGCTGTTAAAGGTAATCTCCGTCCCCTACCTTTTGGATCTTTGTCTAATTTAGATCTTTTAGTTTATACGAGTTTTTGCTGAGCATAACGATGCTGCGAACTTGTATAATCATGGAGAAACATTGACTCTAACTCATGAGCTCCACGCCCTTCAATACTGGTTGGGTGAAACGGTTCCATTACTATTTATGAAAGTAAGTGCATACGATGTGTACACCACAACTACGATCCCATGCAAGTTGCACGACAGCTTCGAAATTGAATGCTTGCCACTTCAACAACTCAGCGTTCAATATCACATCATCGCAATTTGTCCAAAATTTGTCAACATTATCAATGTCATGACAAAAAAAGGACTCCTTCAACTTCATGTATCAAAGACGTGATTTAGATAAAAAAGGAGGGAATGCGGAGAGAGGATGGAGTGGTGCTCCAACTGTGTGGCTGTGTGTAATTGCCTCAAAAGGGTTTCGGTGATGTCCGAAATGTCGGGAGCTTGTGCGGTCGTGCCTTATTATTTGCAGCATGAGAAACACGATGGCTGTTTCATTGATCTTTCCCTTGACAAGCCCACAGGATGAACACTAACGAAGAAAGGCCGTTATACAGCAAAGACGGGAGTTCATCTAGGTCAGCCTTCTCTGAAGATGGCCGAGGAGGAATTGAGCCAGTGAGTGCCATTGGAGTGCCATCCGCGTCGGGCAATATCTCGTTTTCTGAATGATTGAATAGACACCACAACTGAGAGCTGGGGTTCGTTTTGGTGCGACTTTCTCTTATCCAGTCGCACGCGCATAATTGATCTCAAGCCACAAGTGCAGTATACTACCGACTATACACCAAAGGCGGTCCACTTGAATCGATCAACCCCATCTATTCCAACGACCGCTTCATCAGCCGCATTTTGTCCACATCAGTGAGACCACCTCACACTGTTGCATCATTCAAGAGGTATCTATGCAAAATTGAAGACCTAGCTCCCGAAAACTGTACTCTGTATCAGTCACTCACGGAAAACACAGCTTTGGAGGATTCTACTCGTCTCTCCCTCCGAGGCACACCTGGGCCAGGTTCATCTGTTGATGATCCGATAGCGCTAGCGTCCAGTAATGAGAGACAATCGGCGGTGGAGAGTTCAGCAGCTTCAAAAGACCTACTTGAACAGGATTTCGAGCAACGATATGGTATGGTGCAGTCTTTACATCTTACTTAGGAGAAACTAACCTTACACGCTGCAAGTGTACTACCACATTTACGACGAGCAGGGTGAAACCGTGTCAAAAACATCCTTCGACCAGAACACTCCTTCTTTGGGTCGCGTCAACACTCTCGCTATTCCACCACCTCACACTCTGGCTTCATTGAAGAACCACCTTATCAAATCCGAAAATATCTTGGCCCCCAATGTTCAGATCTTCCAGGATGAGGACAGCGAGTCTCCCTTATATGACACAGATGTCATCGCTCTTGTTTCTAATTCTTTTCTGGGGTGTACGGAGGATCAGCCGATAGCGGTAACGTACGAAGTGCAGGGTGCAGGGGTTGCAAACAATGGTAAGTAAGGATTGTCTGAAATGCTAGAGTGCCGTCGTTCTCAAGTCTTTTAATGAGTTCTAGTTAATAATGAGAACCCGAACGACAGAGAGGCGCAACTCCAGTCTGTTTTAAATCAAACAAGAGAAGAGCTACGAAAAGCCAAAGAGGAAATAGAAAGACTGAAACAGACACACATGCGCGAGCTAGATGAAGCGCGAGGATCATCATCATCTCAACCCCAACCTCGGCCTCTAGGGGTGAGTAAACTAGAACATAAATTGCCCTGACTCAAACGACAACGGGGTCACAGACGGGGAAACTTCAAACGATGAGAAAACTTAGAGCAAAGAAGGATTGGAGTAAGTGACAACATTGTTCATTAAATGGAATTTTTGCACCTGCTGTCGCTAACTTCTGAATGACATATAGATCTAGGGGACTGCGATAAAAGGTGGCACTCGATGAAACTGGGGGATATCTTTCACACAAATGGTGTTGAGAGGAAGGAGGAATGGAGAAACAACGGGGCTGGCAAAATCTATAGTATGGCGTATTCGTGGATTTGGTATATGAGTTCCAGAACACTGATATCGCCTTTAATTCAAGAATTTGATTGCTATCTGGCGACGAACTCTGCTGGAAGAGTAGCTTGTAAGTGCCCCCTCATCGTCGTCGTCACAAATAAGTTACTCTGTCTTTTCCAGTTGCCGTTGCAGGTATGCTCCGTCTCCTACCTTCTGGGTCTTTGTCTAATTTATATCTCTTAGTTTATACGGCCTTTTGCTGATGCATAACGGCGCTGCGAACTTGTGTACTCAGGGAGAATCGTTGACTCTTTTTCCCGATTTCCACATCCTTCTGGTTGGGCGAAATAGTTCCATTATGTATTTATATACATAAGTACGATATATAAAACTTCACAATTTGCAGGACAGCTAGGAAGATGGAATGCTTGCCACTTCAACAACTCAGTGCGATCTCATATGTGTATCATAGTGACTAACGTTCAGACCCACAAATCAGATCATAATTCCCAGTTTACAAAAAATAGGCATAGAAAAAACTCGTTCAATTTCGTGTATACAAGTCGTGATTAGTTTGAGTGAGTTACATGAACAATGTAGGAATGATGAGAATGGGATGGAAGTGGGGATGTTGAATCACTCAGTTTGGTGAATGCTGCTCTCCTTCTCGTCAGGGCCTCTGGATACAAAATCATTTTCCGGGATATCGTCTTCCGCGGCGCCTTGCTCGAAGGCAGCTTTGTGTTGCTCAAAGTGCGAACCGTGTTTTCTGTTGTCGTTAATAAGTGAGAGGAAAGGAAAAGGAGGAGGGAACAGCATACTCAGGTCCGACGATGGTGATGAAGACGACGAATGCGGCGACGACACCAATGAAGATACCTTGCACCTAGAACGGGTATGTCAATAGGACTGGGAGGCATTTGAATCCCACTAGGTACTTTGGCGTAATCGGGCACGGGAGTCAGCATACCGTCCTTTATGATCGTCGTTTTAAGGTTTTGGCCCCCAACTAAGGATGTCAACATAATTCGACTGGGAAGAATGAATGGTGAAAGACGCAGCAGAAGAGAGCTCTCCAGCCCGAATTCACCTCTGGAACGAGGTATAGATTGATCACAGCAGCGATGAGGTATCCAACCGCGTAACCCTCCTGTAGGAAACCACTACCGACACTGCGAAGTTCGACGGGCAAGTTTTCTAGAGCTGTGGAAGCTGCTAGACCCCAGATCCCACCCATGCCAATACCGAAGAGGGATCGGAGCGCAAGGAACTGCTTGAAGTTTTGCACGAATCCAGCGCCGAGCTCGAGGACGGCGACAAGGACAAGGTTACAAACGAGGGGCCACTTCCTGCCATAGCGATCCGAGACAATGCCGAATAACACCTGATGACAAAAAGAGATGAGAGCCGGAGCGAGCAAGGGAAGCGAGATAGACGCACCGCTCCCAGCGGTCGGAACAACAATGTGAGGGTAATTGCGGTCGTCTATCAATGATTGTCAGCTGTTTTGGACCATTGATGATAGACAACGCACGATGTCATGAGTAGACTTATTGAATTGATTTTGAAGGTGCGTAACGCTGAGGGATACAGAGAAAAAGTCGATAGCGTCGCACGTCCAAGCCAGCCATCTAAAGAAAGGACAGATCAATGGACATGCAACTTCAAGCGCTAGTCGAGGTTAGGTGTGACGTACCCGCAGAAGAACTGAGCCCATTGGAGCCAAGTCATGGCGATGACAGTGAGCAGAGACCTTGACAGCTAACTGCATAATCGTAGACCATATCTAAAATTTACTTTGTGCGCTTTTATTTGTACAAACAACCATATTAGGTAGAACGCCCTTCCAAGTTGGCAAGTTCCAACCGCTCCACCCTTATGACGTGCGGGGCGGGATTGGAGCGTTTGGAGCAACTACCGAAACGGTGCTAGAATGGGGCAGCCCGCGCGCATATGGGCATCATGGTTTACATAGCCACAGCCTAAAACGGATGTTTATGCACAACCAAAGGCGCAAAGTGAAATTTCAGATGTGGTCTACGATTATGCAGTTAGCTGGAATGCTGCCGCTCTTCTCTGCGGGGGACGAGGTTTTGCAAGAAGTAGGGGACCATCAGTTACGCCGATGATGGAATGACAGAAGTGAGGAACCTAAAATTTGATGGCCGAGGAAGAGCAGTTTTAAGAGTTGCTCCATCCCGATCCTGTAGAGTTGTGATTCGAAGGGGTTATTCTGAAGTTATTTTTAGCTTGTGTGCACGAGGGGCAGATAGACAGTGCGGTGATTTAAGGGATCTTGTCATACCCCGGGGATGTCTTGGCTGATGTTTGGGTGGTATAAAGGCGCAGAGGTCCTTCCTAGGTCGCAAAGCTTCCTCAGGATGTTTGCGCGCTTGGTCATATACCGTTGACGGCGTGTGTCTGCAAGGTTTGTTTCCCTTTATGACATACATAAGATCGTGATGCGATGGTCCGAAAACCGACAATCCCCCGACTGTGACTTTTCATGGTTGTTTATGCCTAGATAAGGTCTTTGAATCAGTACAAGGGGGTCCTAGGATTAAAAAAATAGACCTGGGGTCGATTTTTTTTTTAAGCCCTTACTGGCTTGACCTACCTACCTACGTAATCAGGCACGTGTCCATATATGGTAAGATGACATCATCATTTTCATCGCTTTGTCCAAGATGCCTCGCAAACCCAGTTTTGTGAATCTATTTCCTACCAAATGCAATGTAGATGATACTGGAATATAGGTGAGTGACTTGTAATTTTTATTGTATAGAACATATTTTAATGTTGGCAGATCTAAGTCTGTTGGCAAGTCTGGCTTATCCGAGTTTTGCAATTGGGCATGTGGTGTTTTACATAATTGGTATCAAGAACAAGTTTCTAAACAACTTGCCAGTAACTTGTAAGTGATGTTTAGTGACTGTATTTCTTTGGTTGTGCCAGCTTCCACCTTCAAGATGAGCTTTGTGACATTGACACTTGGTGGAGATTAGATAAGCTTGAAGAAATACTGTACTAATACGACCATGCCTTCGCATCACACATCACAGAGGTCTCTGAAGGAAGTGAAGTGAGTGTGATGTCACACATCACACTGGCTTTTGAAGCCATTCCTGGCATTTTAAAATATCCATTTTTTCTAATTTTTCTGGTGCCTGCGGCGCCCTAGCCATGTAAACAGCACTCGGCATATTTCATCTACTTCTAACAAGAATTGTCCCACCATCTAAGATTTTTCTGCATGTACAACATTGTTTTAAATTTCAAATTGACGATGGCCCCTGTTCGGACGAAGAGCTCATACTCTTCGTCACACATCACATCGGATATTGAAGTCATGAAGAGATGGTCAAAACGTGTCACGCCCAAAAGGGCCAGAAGAGATGGTCGTATTAGTACAGTATTATATAATGCTTCAATATCATTGAATTCAGACTGATCTACATGCTTTGGAGTGCACTAGCACTACTAATTCGCAGGGGATGGCCTTCCAGGACTGTTTTTAGATCATTTTGTAGAGGGTTCCATATTTTTTTTTCTCAGCCTGTGGCTGACCTACCTACCCAACCCCCGGTCGGACTTTGGAATCCTAAGACCCCCTTGAATCAGTACTTCTTCATTTGAGAATTGTCTCCGAAGAACGAAGTGGTCAAGAGGAAGGACCAGGTCATTGTTGTTTGGCATTGTTAACGTGCATAATCAATCGCCTATTCAGGAAGCCGGTGTGACTCAACCTCCTCATCATGCGACCTCGCTGTATTGAAGTCACCTGCACGGCGTGCCGTGCAGAAGCTTTGTGTATTTCGGGTCGGAAACAGCGTCGACAGACGTGGGTTCGCTAACGGTTGCCATAGTGCACACGGCAAGTGGCTCGTGACGCCCGCAGGGCAGGCAGTCAGTTGCAATACCCTCATTTCATTATTCTTGCTCCAGAAGTTATCGCACCTGAAATGAACGCCCGCCCATAAGGAGCCCTATGGCGATCTTTCCAGCGAAAACGACCCCACGCGGGTCTCCCAAACCAAGTTTATTCCCGGTCGACATCTCGGACCTTCATCTACAACAGATAGGCAGTGCGTTCTCTTAATGCCTGGAACGTGCCGATCTTTTCTATTCACTGTAGTTTTTTCTGTAAGACCATCTCCGTTATCGCGTTCTGCTTCGATAATTTACTTTTTGGATGAGAAATCCATTCTAGTTATCGGCTTATCGAACATTCATGCGACCCCAGTTCAAACCTAGATTTATCAGGTTTCTTTTTGATGATGGTCGTTAGGTTGGATTCTCGCCGGGACTGGGAAAGTAAGTCACACCAGCGTCAAGCGCTAGGGCCCTACTACCCAAGAAGTTCACGGGGTACGTGGGGGTTGGAAGGCGATAGCGGCCTTGGTGCAATTCTCATTTCAAACTCCGCATATGCAGTGACGCCCGTCAACGCCGTTAACGCCCGTCACTCAACGGAAACAGACGGCCTTTCCCCGTACGTCTACCGTACGTCAGGAGACTTGCGACAGGCCCAGACGGTACGGTGACGGTGCCCGTCTGACGGACCCGTCTATCCGTCTAAGACGGACACGGTGAGCAGCCCTACCCAGCAGGCATTACGGTCAGACTCAACGTACCACAATGTAAGGTTCTTCTTACCTCGCTTTCAGTCTTCAATATCAAAAATCCCTTCACGCCATGCGGTCGCCGTCGGATCGAGCCGTTTGTACCAGTGAGTAAACATTGCCGCATCGCGAAGCTCCAGAATAAATCCGTCGTCAATGAGAGGCTGAAGCTGCCCGGTTAACTTTTTCACATATTTTTGACTTTCAAAATCGCGACATGGATATAATGTGAGCTTCTCGATTCCAAGATGAGCGCATCTTCTTGATGTGACGATGTTGGCGAGCACATCTGTCTGTAACTCCGAATGACCACCAATATTGACAGAGAGAGCTCTCAGATTTGTTAGAAGTGAATCTCCATCTGGAAGGTGCTGCAGCGATGGGAGATACGGCTGAAAGTTCAAGATATCATCAAGATCCAGCTCGACGATGTGCGCAGCAGCTTTAAAAATACAAACAAAAGGCCAACCTCCGCCAAGAGAAAGCCTCTCAAGCGGAGCAACTTGTTGATAGAGCCGACGGCGGGTGGTCGCTGTCCAGAATACATCGTCAGCTCCATCGGAACTGGTGATGTCGCTGTCATTTTGAAGCCTCAGAGTCTTGAGCGCTGGGAAGTCAAAATGACCGAGGATGCTGGGATTTATTGGGTCGCTGAATCCGAATGTGAGATCGACGAGATGATGGAATATTACATGTTTAGCGGTTGATGGAGCCAGGGTGAATTCCTCGTAGAGGTCAAATAAACCATGCTGGAGGTTTGGGCACATTGGAAATAGCTGCAGCCACAAATGGGATTTAAGGAGACCGACGAGGATGAGGTGGGTCAACTGACTCCACGGAAGAATGAGCTGAAGGGGGGTGCCTCCCTCGAATGAAAGGCTGTCCATGCGGAGCCGCTGAAGGCGGGGTGCAAAGGGGAAGACAGGGGTTTTCGAGTCACTTTTGATGTTGACATTTTCCCGTATAATGGCAGATTCTAATTGAAGAAATTGAAGGGTAGACCACAATATGCCAGGACGATTAAGCTGCGTCTGTGTTGGCTGTGATGCAGTGGATAATTGAAGTTCCGTGGGGATCGGACAGACAAAACCGAGTAAATCAAGGTCAAGGTGGCGAAATCGATGGGCAAATGGAGTGATGCAGGCGGTGAACGTTTTCATCGCCTTCTCATGACGCTCATTCCCAGAGGTAAATTTGAAAGATAACGGAAGCGGGAAGTTTGACCGGGAGAACCACCTGTCCAGCAACTGGGGCAACTTTCTCCGCCGTTTTCGATTGATAGTGTTTGTGGAGACGGCAGCTGCAGTCCACAGCATGGGTCAGCCGCTAGCAATCGCTTGCCACCTTTTGCAGACACAGCATAAAGATATCGGGGGTCCCGCTGATTTGTTGATTTGTGGCGGGTAGTCATTGTGGGAAAGACAAAGCATGAATATCTCCGCGAGAAGTTCAACCGGGAGTCGTTCAATCGGAGGTATGACGCTGAGCGACTCGAACTTCAACCAAACCGATTGAAGCCACACCCTCTCCCTGAACCGAAGCTAGGAATCTTGACCTGAGCTTAAAGTAAATAATAATTTAGCCTGCACCTTTTGTTTGAATGACTTATCCTACCTTGTCCATGATGGCCTTGTGATATCACCGACGATTCAAACCGCAAGAATACAGGGCGGTCACAAGGCGGTCACTGCAAGGTCACTGCGAAATTGCAAGCGATATGTAACGTTTCAAAGCTAAAACAAATGGAAATGGGTTTTGATAGGTGCAAGATTGAGTGATTGCCAGGCGATGGCGTTAAGGAATAGGGAGATGGTAGTTTTGGTGAATGTGTGCTCGAGTCGTGCGCGTGACCTGGTTGTTTATCAATATTATTATTCGCACCACGATCATTCCAAGATCATTCATCCCAACCATTTCAGCTTTCGTCGTAAGTGTCTGATACAAAGTGGAATCATGTCCTCATTGCAAGTATCTCGACTCAGCATAGTTCCTCATCACCCAAGGATATTAGATTGGTGGCCGTGAAGGGAGTTCAATTTCTGATGTGGTTGAGGATCCGTAGGATGAAGGAGCTAGTCGACGAGGCAAACTTCAGCCCAAATATTGGAATGGTTCTCGTTCGTTGTGGGACATTGGGAGATAGTAGAAGATCTAGAGGCCATGAGCGAACACCAAGGTAAGTCATACGCACATTCAGAGCATAAATCCACTTACAATCTGTTCCACACACCTCCTAATTGTCCCACCCCTCCCAGTCGCTCATGCAGTCATGGCGTCATCTCCCTTGTCGTCTTGATTTGCTCCGATGACCGTTTATAACCACAATCGTCGTCGTCATTGACCTCTTTTTCAGGTGTTAGCGTGCGGGGGTTCATGACTTGGGCTGGGAGATTCTAGTACCTGGAAGGTCAACCACAGAACTTCACAAAAAGTCCCCCTTCATCCATCCGCACCGCCTCCTGATAAACGCATATACCGTCATTGAGGTGGTCGTGGGTTGGATTTATTGGATTTGGGTGCGGCATGACGTACATCACCGATGCGATCGCGTAGTGGAAGAGGAGGGAAACTGACCGCGTAAAGCAGAAAGGTAAGAAAGCCAGTTTGTAAAGTGTGGTTGGCAGACTACTGACCATTCTGAATGCCCACCCCGACCCCCTTCACCAATCTCCTCCACGTCATAGTCTTTGTTTCCATCAGAATGACGAAGCGCTCTTTAAACCGACCTGGACACGTCATCACTGCCCGTACGAGTCGTCTCCGTTGTCGTCGCGCCGCATTTGCATATGCCACAGATCTGGCCATCATCGTTTACAGTGAGAACATGGTCCGGACGAAGAGGAAAAAACTCCGGTGTTCGGATTTTTGAAAGGATGGGGACCGGGATCAATCGTGGCGTGCCAGAAGAAGGCGGCGGTCTCGACCTTGAAGGGAATCGTTACTCCACAATACCTCCGTACTACGCGAGTACATCTTCATTTTGGTAACGAAGGCCCTGTGTACGTCATTGTCCTGCGGAGAAAGGAGCTGATCAGGCGGTTAGAGGAGATTGTTGCAGATAGCATATGGTTCGGACCTTGCTATCTTCCAACCTGATACACGTTGAACTCGTCATCGTCGATGTCGTTTCGGTTGTTGCGAGGTGAGGAGTGTCGTAATAGTCAATGTTCATCGAGGCATCGATGACTACTCATTGGTCATGGGCTCAGGGAACTGGGGGACAGAAAAGTGAGCAATATCGGAAGGAAACAAGGTCAAAGCACCAACCGTTCCGCGAATCCCTTCCCCACTCATCGTTGTATACGCACAGCTTCCCTGTCCATCACGTTCAACATACGCATCCGCTTTCACATCGTTTTGTCCTGACCAGTTGCACGCGCCATCGGGAAGGTCACATTCAAAGACGCATTTCACGGAGTGGCGAGAGCGCATCGGAAACGTTGAGTGCTGTGATAGTTTCTGTATGATCGTCAAGTTTTGGTGGTATAGAGTCTGAGGCGGAGAACGACATACCATCTAAGAGCCATTGGCGCCTCTCATCACCGACGGGACAAATCCCTGCTATCTCCTAACTTCTTGTGGTAGTTCCGGAACCGCTGTTCCTCGTTGGCCCATTTACAAAAATCTCAAGGCAAGCCTATCGATCGAGTTTCTCGTTAGTTGCATGTAGCCTTATGATGGTAGGAGCTCCCAGCTTGACTGACCTAAAATCCACTTTTCCGACAGACAAACCAAACTTTGCCAGCACAGTGACATCATCCCCCAAAAATAACGGAAACAAACACCGACTAATAATAATATTAACCCTTCTCTTACAGGACGGCAAAATCGTCGGAAGCCGTAATTAGGATAACTAACATGAAGATAGATTGGTTACAAGAGATCTGTGAATTTAGGAATTTTTTGATGACGTTTAGTCAATATTTGGTTTATGTCTCTCAGATACGATGCGCAGGAAGAGCATCCGCGAGCTTCACTAACTGAATCGATCTCGAAGCGTCTGGGGTCGAGGACAACTTTACGGATGTGTTGGTCTGTGATCGAAGCCCAAGCGTTGGGGTGACTTCCATGCTTGGAGCTCTTCGGAATTAAATCCAAAGAATCCCTCGCTAATCGATCCCATTGTGCATAGTAATTGACCTGTTGCGACATCGTCAGCGTTATAATCTATAAACCATATTTTGAATGCACAGACCCAGGCCACCAAAGCTCCGGGGACTGTGAGAATTTGAGCTGCTAGCGTCAACGCTGAAGGGGCGGAAACTGTGACGGGAGCTGCTTTATCGGCGAGATCTGTATAGCCATGTTTCAAGGCATAGTTCAAGATCTCCATAGGTTTCTGTTCGACTACGTAACTATTAAGCATCAGCGTTGCATCGTCTCGTCCACACCTGTACACACTCACTGCATTCGGATATTGCATGTATTCATCGCGCCGTATACCTCGTATTTCTCCGCCGCCTCCGCCAAAGCAAAGAGCAGATCGAATTCAAGATTCAGAACGGATGGTTGGCGTGATGGATGGGTGAATTGAAAGAGGAGTTCCAGAACCTCCGCTGGCTCAGAGAGTACAACGACCTCATCAAGGGTAGGAATTTTGGCAGGAGCAAATCCTCCTGTGTTTGCCTCAAGGCGGGATCGGTAGACGCGGAACAAGACACCATCTGATGATTGGAAAACAACATCGGCAGCCGCATCGCAAACTGAAAGTAAAAAGTTGTGAGCTTTCACGGGTATTCGATGGCTTTAGTTCTATCGATCATAACGCACAGTGTTTTGAAGTCCGCTGCTCTGCATTCGACGGCTCCGCAACGACAGTTCCATTTCGAAGGGAGGACATGGCGGTTGTAGAGTTGGTTATCGACAAGTTATCAAGATCTCTTAATCGACGCATCATCGCCGAAGCGCTGGCCCACGTGAAGAACGTTTGCAGGGCTATAACTTATACTACTTAGTAGTATAACGTATTTGCATAACTCGTGATCGAGGCTGCAAGATAAGATTATGAAAAGCCATGTGATAGTAGTACGTTGATTACTTACCCAAACGCAGAGGGACCAAAGCGGCGAGAGCGATTGCTGCAAGAATCATTCGACATGGCACATGGGATCCACTTTGTGAATCCAAAATGGTTATCAGCCGCTACCTGAAATTCAAATAATTTAGTAAGACTAAGTTCGACTCAGAAGGTATGTATTTGCCACGTACACGTTGCCGAGGAGCCAGCGGGCATTTCTAACTTGTCTTCAGGTAAAGCCCACCCTTACTTCCTAAACCAACAAATGAGCCAACGTTCGTGAGAGTTGAGGAGAGGGTACAGACCTAGACCCCGTCACGACTTTTCCAACAAATAAACGGACTCCGTTTCGTAGATTCAGAATCGCCTCCGCAACGCCGTTCACGTTACTTTTGCTTAGGTTGAGAAGTGTCAATGAAGTGCACGTGAAACTCGTACCTGGTCTGTCTGCAAATAGAGATCGTCCTATCTTCCACTAGACTTGTGACTTCTAAGTCTCTCGTGCCAAGGAGATGAAATGGAGGAAAGAATAGTGCTGCTGCTGATCCCATCTTCGTCGCCACCACAGGCATGATAGCTACAACGCAGTGTTCGTTTTTGGCGTTGGTGAGAATCTAGCTAGGGGATGAGACACGGAGGCATTGGTGGTAGCATTAACGTACAACGATGTTATCGTCCCCGCCATGTAGCGAACAAGGGATTAGGCTGTACATAATGAATTGCTTGTCCATCATCAATCAATACTCATTGGATGGGGCCAGGGAACTGGGGGACAGAAAACTGAGCAATATCGGAAGGAAACAAGGTCAAAGCACCAACCGTTCCGCGAATCCCTTCCCCACTCATCGTTGTATACACACAGCTCCCCCCTCCATCATGTTCATCGTGCGCATCCGCGTTGACATCGTTTTGTCCTGACCAGTTGCACGCGACATCGGGAAGGACACTTTCAAAGGCGTATTTTACGAAGTGGCGAGAGAGTTTCGGAAACGTCGAGTGCTGTTATAGTTTCTGTATGATCGTCAAGTTTTAGTAATATAGAGTCTGAGGCGGAGAACGACACACCATCAAGAGTTGTCGTCGCTCATCGCCGACGGAACGAATCGTGGCACTTCCCAAATGCTACCTCTCTTGACAAAAATCTTAGACCGTGAGCAAGCCTATAGATTGGGTTTCTCATTAGTTGTATGTGGCCTTATAACAATATGAGCTCCCAGACTGACTCACCCAAAATCCACTTTTCCGACAGACCAGAGCCACATTGACAAGTTTTGGTTGGGCGGTTGATAGGGTAAGAATTTTTTGACGGCGCGATATTGTCATCCACAAACTCCAAAAAATAATGGAAACAAACAAACAAACACATTGATCCGCCCACGGCTGCACCCTCCCCAATTCTCGTACAACTCCTCCCAACTCATTCCTACCGTGATCTCCATTATCTTTGTCACCCCCATCCTCCTTGAGTACCTTGTCCATCTCTCCCTATAGGAACGTCGTTTCCTCCCTACTGTCCTCCACGCATACCCTTCCTTACTTGACTCCTCCATCATTGCCCCACTTCTTCTCCGTGCTCTGGCAGCACTAGCCCTACCTCGTTTCCCATAGCATGGACTTCATGCATGTTTATTCTCGGCGCCAACGGAACCGGCAAATCCACGTCATCACAGATGTCCTCCAACCACGCGAGGGACCATCTGTAGTCAAGCAGCCTTCGAACTCGCAACATTCAGCGGGTCAGTTACCGTATCACTCGAGTCCAATTTAGTATTTCCAGCTATTGTTTAGCCAGAAGTTTCCCGAGACCTTGAAGGATATCATGGTCCGTCCTTTCTGTTGGCGGTATATGCGGTGTGATTATTCATTGATTGAGTGGTTCGGATAGGCTTGAAGAGCACACTTGGGTCGATTTGAGCTGTTGGGCATGCATCAGACTGCTGCGGTCAGGCAACTTTTGGATGGATTGAGGAATCGGTGGGTGTTCTTTTCTCTTGCGTTTTGTTGCGAGGCCAGTGTCCACTTTTTTCGTTCTATATATTCGGCTTTTGTTCTTTTGCTCTCCCCGCCCTCCCTTTATAACCACATTTGCGTACTCTCATGCGGGTTATGCTTCCCTGCCATTAGTTCGGAAACTCTTGTCTGTTGCTCCGCCACGTGTCTTCTCTTCACCCTGCTTTTCCATCCGTAACACGCTCATGTTATCTCCTGCGTCATTTTCCTCTTGCCTTACCCCTTGTTTAGTGTAGAGATTTCACCAGCCATCCCCGTTGCCCTCATCCACCTCAATTTCATTCGCAACCCCCCGCCTTATGTCTCGTATGGTTTCCCTACCGTCCCGCAACATGTACTGAACTTCAGTTTTTCTCTTACAGCGTCGTCTGCGCTCAGCTGGGGGTGGAACACCCACATATCCTCCTCACAGTACGCCCTTTAATCCCGGACTGATATTGATGGTGGACGCTACACATTCTCAGGTATCCTATCCTTCAATTTTTTTTGGTCGTTAGTTGACACCATCTATTTTGTACAGAATGGAACTCCTATTTGGCAGAGAGAGGGCTTCTGGAAAATTGACCTGTAAGGCCTGCAATCATCCGCCTCATTGTAAATGGTCAATTTCACTGATATGTGAAATTATTTCCAGTGGCTAGTCAAGATTACTCTGGGCAACTAGAAATCTGCGTGGCACCAGCGTGGCGTGCGTGCCACTTGCGTGCTAATTTTCACGCATGTCACGCAACTTGCACGCTTGCCACGCAGGTATCACGCAGATGATGGTGTACGCGTGTACCATCCTGGCAATATTCTGTGCCAATGTAACGGAAAATAGACTGTTGTGTTTACGTTGTGTGTAGGTTAAAGCACCTACTATATCACTATACTACAATAAGGATAGTCAGAAGATAACTTTCCAACGGAGGTCTAAATTCATCTGTTTCCCACGCCACTCAAGGGCGATTAAACTCTGCTGAAAGTGAGCGCGACGCCTGAAAGCACACTGCACAATGAGTAAATCTGGCGTACATAGAATAACGATGGAATATAATGGTTTTTGTTATTTAATTAAAGCGGGCAAAGTAATGATGTAATGTTTCCCACCTTCGGGGAACATTACATCATTAAGATTTGACGGCTCTATATTCATACAAATGACCTCCACACTAATAGCCCCTTTCTCTGAAAACAATTTAAATGTGTAGAACTAAAGAAAGGCTTCTTACCCATCCCAATTTTTTTGAGAAATAATGACAGGAACATCCTCTAATAAGTCTGACAAAACAACGATGTGACAGCTAACGAGGTATCGATAGACCAAATTTTGAAATGCTCCACTTAATGATTCTGTTTACTTGTGGAGCCTCAGGGTATGTGCAAACAACCTTACTGGGAATCTATGACTATGTACGCAGCAAGCGAGAAGGGGTGGGAAGCAATGCCCGCCAAATGCCTGGCCGTAGTTGTTTGGACAGCTCCAAAAGTAAATAAAATCACTAAGTGGAGCGTTTTGGAATCTGGTCTATCGATACCTCGTTAGCTGGAAGACAAGATTAGCTTTCGGGTCAGCCAGCTTCATAGCTTTATTTTCCTTCGTATACACATTATTTTAGTAGCCCGGCGTTGAACGGCTTTTTATAATATGTCATAGAAAAATATGAGACATAATGATGCAATCATGTAAAAAATTCACACTTTTTCTGGCAGAGAAAAACCATCTTGACGTCATTGAATTCAATCCTTCTGAATTACTTTGTCATTCCCATATGGTGTCAATCAATTAAGTTTAAACATCGTAATAAGTAGCAACTTTCTGTACCGAATCAGTGATGCACGGAGCAGTCACGCATGATCAGGACCTTGACACGCATCACCATGCAGATGCGTGCATGTGCTCACGCATCAGCACGTGTCAGCACGCATCTGCACGTTAACTTACTGACCCCTGAAGCTCACGCTCATCCACGTGTCTGCATGCACTAGCATACAGTCGTGGACAAGCAAAGCCCACCAATCACTTTTCTCACCGAAAACTCGATGAAATTGCGAGATTCTTTCAGAATCTTGCTCAGTTTTTCAAAAGACGTCGAAAACACCCCCTCCGAAGTTTTTCCCACGAGTAATTAGTAATTGCCAAATTTTTAGGGTCAAGAATCGCAAATGTAATGTACAAAATTCAGTTGAGAGCTGTATCTAAATGCATCATTGCGGTCCTCGAAACACTTCAGTGCCCTTTTTGCTTTTGCACAGCCCACTGGGCAGCCTCCCCAGTCAATCTGATGTGATAAGCCGACATCCACTGCCATGATCAGTTGATAAACAGCCAGATCACCTCAGCAGGACAAGCATTTAGTGCTTCTGAGGTGGCATTGACTTTCTTCTTAGGCAGCATTAGTCAAATTCAAGATTTTATTGTGGGCCAACCACTCGATGAAACCCTTTGAAACGCGGTGGACACGCTCCGTCTATTGAAAGGAAGCAATTGCGCATTTTTTCGGATTTTTCCATTTCCTTTTAAGGGTTTTTGCCAAAATTTCAGGGACCATTTCCTTAAATAGACATTTTCTCAAGAACTGCTCGATAAATCTCTTTGAAATTTGACTGGGAACTTCAGCTAACTAATATGCATCATTTCAGATACTCAAAAAGGAAGTGCTATGTCAGCCATTTTTTTAGTGGGCTTTGCTTGTCCACGACTGTACTACTATCACGCTAACACGCACTTGTGAACACCCATGCACGCTACCCATTTATATTAATAAATACTGGGTCTTTGGACGATGCATCAAGCCACAATTTAGAGTTAGGTTCCATTCAATGGAAAGTGATCGATGCTCAGCAGGTCAACAAATATCATCCTGATTCTTCCTTGCTTTCTCCTTCATCTAAAGGCAAAATTCTCAGACGATGGTGAGTCCCCTGACATTAAACCAGATTCAGATTCTAAATATTTCATGTAGGACTTTCTCAGACATGTTTTTCGGTACTTCAGACTGCCAGAACCAGATGAAGCACAATCTAAAAGGGCTGTTTCGACTGTGAAAAAATTTCAGGACCTAATACCTGTATGTAGCATGGATGGTACATTGGAGTCATGCAATATTAAATATTTTCTAATTAGTCGGACTGTGTTAGGCCGTCTATTGAGGTACACCGCCAACTGTCAAAAATGTGACTGTAAGATCACTCGGAATGATGGATGTCACCCTGACGCTCAATATAGATTGCAGGTGACACCAACATGACTCACATCTTGCTAAATTTGGCCTGTGTTGATGTCATGCACAAGGCCCTTGATGGCTGTTGCTTGACACCTACTCGACAGCTTAGTCTGTCAGCAGCTATTCAAAAAACCTGCCGCCGACCTGCAGTACAGGCAACCTGAACATTCCTCACCATGTACCTACAACATCCATTACTAGCTGTCCTCACCATATCATTGGCACTAGTGCTTGGAAGTCCAGTCTCAAGACTGAAAAAAGACTGAGACTGGACTGGACCAAGACTGCCCAAGACCGGAAATTCCCAGGACCATCAAAGACTGCAACCGCAGTCCGGTTTTCGGTCTCTCATGATTTCGGAAAATTGAAGACCGACAAAAGACCGGTCTAACCAGTCTTAACCGGTTTTACCAGAACTCGTAAACAAACAAAACTTGTAACCAAACAGAAATCATCCAAATACAAACACACTCTCTTCCCATCACCACCCTTCGTGACCACCACCTCACATTGTGAGTGCCCACCATGGGCTAAACGACATCGACCGTTGCCTCATGCAACAACATCGACCACTGCCAACCACTTCCACATTACCCCCTCGCCCTCTGCCTCCTTTGGCATTGACGACAACACACGACAACAGCCATGCAATGACGATGGAGACAGGCGGACAACGATGATGCGACGTGGCAGCGACGTGGGCTAAACAACATCGACGGCTGCCTCACACATTGACATCAACCACTGCCACATCACCCCTTTCCCCTCTGCCTCCTTTGGCGTTGACAACAACATGCGACGACCAGCAACGACACGACGTGGCACTGACGACAGATGACGACAACAACCACAGACAACCACAATGACGATGGATGACTGAGGACCATGCGAAGAGTATGAGACAGGCGATGACGGACAACAACAAGGATGCACGAGTGGTCCCCCCCCCCCTTCCCCCTCGTTCACCCTTGTGTAGTACTAGTTTATTTAGTAAATTACATACATATTTTCCCCATGTCAGTAGCTACGAGACCGGTTCTCAACTGGTCCTCAACCAGTTGAGACTGAGACTGGTTGAGACCAGTCCTTCAACCGTAAAAAACCGACGAAAACCGCACTGAACCGGTTGATGTCGGTTCAGTCCAGTTTTTTGTGGCTCTTCAACCTGTGAAGACCGGTCTCAGTCCCGGTCTTGTCAAATTTGGACAAAAGACCGGACTGGACTGGACTTCCAAGCACTAATTGGCACATTGACTACACTTGGACTACACTGCCAATTTGTAAGAGACAGTTTTATATATATGTACATTAGTTGCACAAAAATATAGCCATGTTGCCAAAACGAGGTCTGTGCACTTCAGTTATAGAAAGAACAGTGACAGGCAAGTGAACAATATCAAGTTGTGAGCCGCAATTCGTTCAAGTCCGTTCAAACTCCGACATCATGGGGTCATGTTGAATTTTGAATTTCCCAACACGGAAATTCATTGTTCTTCCTTCCCAACACATCAATGAACAGCCTCCTTTCTCAATGAACAGTCTTTGAATGGTCTCCTCCCAATGAACGGCCTCCTCACGATGAATGGTCTCCTCCCAATGAATGGTCTCCTCCCGACAAACGGCCTCCTCCTTCCTTGACGAACGGCCTCCTCCTGCCTTCAACAAACGGCCTCCTTCCTCCCTTGACGAACGGCCTCCTCTCTCGACGAATGGCCTCCTCTCCCAACAAACGGCTTCCTCGACAAATGGTCTTCCCCCTGCCTTCGACGAATGACCTCCCTCCCTCGATGGATGGTCTCCTCCCTCCATTGACGAACGGCCCTTTCCCTCCCCCGCTTGCCCTCAAGACGGTGAAATGGGCCATCCAGGAAGTGCTAACTACAAATCCACACCTGGCACAGATGTGGCCTGTGAGTTCTTATATTACATAGTCACTTCTTACTTCCTTATCTTGTGTATAATTTCTGTGTCGTTGCCCCCAATAATTAATTTTTGGTTGTTATCTCTTCCCATTCAATAAATGAGCACATGGATCCTTGCAAAAGATTGGTGTTGCAGATGCCTACATGAAGCTTGAATTAATCTGACTATCTACCAAATGAAAACATGTACCTAGATGAATTCTACAGGTCTAGCTAAAAGCTGTTGATAATGCCATGGAATATGTGGGCTGAAGCACACTTGCTGCCGGACATCCACCTGGCCCTGCAGCTGTTATCAATATCTGAACTACACCTGGCGTCAACATCAACCTGGAGACACGCTGTTGTTGGGCAGTAATGACTGTTGAGAAAAGGTCCCATCAACATGTCCGACAGCTGCCAAGTTATGATGGACAGGGTTTTTCACTCACGTTTCTCTCACATGTTGACTATTTGGCAGTGTACATTGAAGGAGGTATTGGAGAGGAAAAGGTCGCATCACCCAACAAGGCACTGTGCATCACCGCTCATTGAAATCATGGATTTGGACTGATTTTCAATTACATCTAGAGGCTATTCCTATCTCCCAGAATAAATGTGCTTCGCAGTCTGGGAATTCTGGATCAATAGACGATGTCTTTTACAAGCGTACCTCGGACAGGAATTATGTACCAGTCACTTCCACACCTTTAAAATCCTCGTCTCTCCCCACTCTACACAAGAGTGATCCCTCTGATTCAGTCTATATTGACACCGGGGAATGGGATGGTTGGCCCAATGGAAACTTCAAGCGCGACTTTACACCTGCGGAGATTGAAGCAACAGGCAATCTCCGTGTGCATTGGGCTGTTCGAGTTAATGGAGGTGATCGAAAAGGAAATGAGCACACTGAAAACTGGGAGGGAGGGAAGAAATCCTCAAGACGCTGCCTGGGGGTCATTGAATGTGACAATCCCATTTGCAAAACACTTGTCCAACCCCACACAGTGGCTCAAGGAATTAACAAGCAGTTAACTGAACCATGTCAATGTGGGGCTGAGCTCTCTCACCGCAGGTGTAACATAATTTCTTACCTCTGGCGATGGTCGGATGGCGTTCATTACGAAAATGGTGGCTTTCATACGCACCATCAACCGACTCATATACTACACCTCCTTCCCAATGAATGGTGACAATTCAAAGAAATAGTCAAGGCATATCCAAAATCAGGACCACTTCAACTAATCGTTGGAGTTCCAGGACTCGATGGGCCTGGCAAATCTGTCGCGGATATCTCAGATGTGTTTTTGAATGCTCACCAGGTCAGCAAAGAGCGTTCAAAACTCAAGAAGGGTCATGTCCAGGGCACTGACGCTTTGTTAGCTTCATTTTCCAAGTTCGCTAATGAGCATCCAAACTTCGTTACCCATTCCACTCTCAGTGAAGAGGTGGTCATATTGGTCCAGACAAATTTCATGTGATCACAAATGGTCAAGAATCGGTGTTTGGAGGGTTCGGTCAATGGAATGGTGAATGATGCTGATACGCGTTGCATGGGGATGACCGTGAAAGTGCGAAACACGCGAACAAGGATCAAGCGCGTTGGGAAAACCCTAAACACCTAAACACTCACTCACACACACACACACACACTATCACAATCTCAGTGCACGAGTTCGAGGGCCTTTGGTATTAAGAAATACCACTTTTGTCTTCTTAGGTTCAAGTCTCAAGAGATTTCGTCTCAAAACGGGTTTTTATTATAAGGTGTGGTTTAGAATAGTTCAATAGAACAAAGTATGTCTTTCTGGGAACTTGGTCTCTTAAATGCAAAGTTCTTTGATCACAGTTTCTTTTATTAACACAAAACACGACTTCAATTGACTTTTATGACTCCTGTGAGTTTTTATTATGTCACTACACTCCAAAACCAAGGGTACGAGTACGCTGTCTCGTCTAAATGATACTGTGTTTTTAAAACCTCTTATTCAAAAGTCTCCAAGTAAGTTGACTCCCAAGCACACTGGCTTCGTTCACACTGTACTTTTCTGACCACAAAGAAATCTCCTTTAATTGATTACAACTGTCCACCTCCTAAGTTCCTACTTGGAGTGCAACTAGCTGGTCAACGGGGGGCGATTGCTCTCCTTTTGACCTGCCAGCGTGCTCCTTATATACTCCAGGAACCCCTATCTATGTTTTACATGTGTTTTAATGCAGGATACTTCGGTCCGAATTACAAATATGAAATTTAATGAACGTGTGGTATATTTTGTAGTCTATCTCTGTGAACACTACAGATTTTGTAGTGTCGCGTCTTTCATTTTCAAACGCATCAGTGTTTGATGCGTACGCGGAGTTAGCCGACGTAGCTATTCTTAGCTTGGCATGATCTCGCGTGTTTCTTTCTATGGCCCGGTTTACCGGTTTGACAGATGACATCACAAAATGATTAATGTTTCCTGATGTGTTGATGCGCATGTGTACGTGTTTACCAATAGTCTTCGGCCTTCCGTCGCTTCCGAGTTTTTAATTAAAATGCCTTGTCTTGGCTCGTCTTTTCATTACGGAGGTCGGGAGACACTCCGAAGGTGTTTTCAAATGTCTTTCTTAATTGTCAGGGGGTTCTTATTATATTTCATATAATAGAATGTGTCTTTTTCTCATGTTTGTACTTGTGACGTTCAGACGCATCAGTCTTTTGATGCGTACGCGGGAACTGCTGTACATGACTTTCTGAATGGCTGTGAGCCACGCTAAGTCTTCGTACGTTTACTACCTAGGTGTAGTTTAGTCTTTCAATGTTTCAGACATGCCGTTTAAGCGTCTATGTCGTCTTTTCTGTATTTCTTGTATAAGCATGAGTTTTCACAATAAATCCATTATGTGTTTCTAAACCCTTTGGTAGTAATGCAATTCTTCTCCCTGCGTTGGGTGTTTACTCTAGAACCTCTTCGTGCTCTATTTCATGGTAGGTGAATCTTAGATAGGATCCAAGTATAATGTCACGACGCGTACTGCTGCCAGTTCCAAAGCCTTGTCCTATTTTCAGATTCCACACATTTGCATTTTTAGTCAACTGCACCGGGTATGCGCATTGACTCTTTGTATCATTGCAATTGTATGTAGTGTATTTATTAGAGATGACCTTTTATCGGTAAAATCGTTAAAATTGAATTTTATACGGGTGAAATGGTTTCATCCGTTGTGGAAGTGCATCATGATCCTTTCATGACGCCCTCCCTTTTTTTATTTTATTTTATTATTGTTGTTTCTTTTTTAACGGTTGTTGTTTTTATATATATATTAACGGCGTATCCTCAAGAGACCGAAGTCACACCCGAGGACTGGACGGTAGGGTCGAGCTAACGATAGCTGGGAAGTCCGCGCTGAGGGCGGCAGTGCGTCCGTAAATAGACTCCCCAGCATCGGACGGTTCCCCGAGTCATCCCCAGTCTAAAGGTTTGACAGAGGAATCTGACGGGTGCGCCGTGGACATTTTCTTTTTTTGGTGTTCTATAGAATGTCGTGACCTTTTTTTAGAATTATTGGACAGGCAGCACGCGAGAACGTGTAGAATGCCTTGTGATTTCTGTTTTTGTATTTAGGTGACCTCCCACCTTGCGAATGGAGTATTCTTCCCCTCTTTTGACTTCGTTCACACCAAGACTTTTAAGATTTTAAGTGATTTACGTCTAACGCTCTTCCCCCTTCCGAACTCGTCGACCTCGGCTTTCGTTTGGACTCCTCAAGAATATTTCACGCACGCAAGAACTTCAAAAGACGCATATACGCGTACTTAAAGTTTTCCTACTGTGCACGTTGAGCGCTCGTCCACGCGTTCTCTCACGCCATCCGCGTTAAGTCCCTCTCGTCCCTTACTTTATTGTCCCAACTCGTCTTTCCCTTTCTTCTCCCATCTTTTTGTGTAGACGACCAGTTTCCGTCTCCCTCTGTTGAACTATCGTTCTTCCACAGTGGTGACCGAGACAGGGGATTGGTATTCCGCTCTACCTCTTCTCAAAAGTACCTGGAGCTAGATTGGTAGGCTTTTCTCGGTACTTTTTGCGCTGACTATTCGTTTTCAGGCGCATATAGTTAATAAATCTCCTGATTCGCACTTTGGTACGTCGACCTCCTCGTTTGTGCGCTGATTACTCGGTTTTCAGACGCATACATCTCACTCGCGACCCTTCAAACGGATCGCTTCTATTCTTCAAGAAAAAGTTAAGAACGGAACCTTCGACGCTGAGTTTTTTTTTCTATTGTTGTTTCCGTTTTCTTTTGCTTCTTTTATTTGGTTTTCATGCCTGAATCTTTGATGGCCGAATTGCCATTGGCGCCGTCTTCTTCAGAATCAAGTATAGTTACGACGCTCGGGATTCCGATGCCCACGCCGGGCACTCCTACCGCTCCTAATTTCAGAGGAAAGCGTGTAGAAGATTTTTTAGATTCACTCGAGCAGCATGCCGATAGTGCGCGAGTTCCACATTCGCAACTTCCTGGTTATGTTCTTCGTTATTGTCATATGAAAGTGCGAATCGTCATTGAAGGTTCTGCCGTCTGGGCTGGTGACGACTGGGTCAGGGCGAGAACTTTTCTTGCTGACCTCTATAGTTCGAATGACGCGATTCCCGTTAACTCACCCAACCGTCTTCGTCAGTGGAGTTTAAAGCATGGTGAATCTGGATTAGTGCTTTCCCGAAGAGATGTGGACAAGTATTACAGAGAGTTTACAGCGCTTTCTTCAGGTCTCGCTCCATCACGTATGTTAGAAACTGAAATTTCTCTTTGTTTTTACAGGGGTATTCCAATGACGTTGCGCATGAAAATCAAAAAGCGGATTCCTGTGGCCAACTTGAAGGCCTCATCGCCTCCGTCCATCGCTTCATTACTCGGATGGCTTAGAGCCGAATTTGACGAAGAGGACTTGGACGCGAAAATTGGTCCAGTGAGCCTAGACTTAGATTCGGATTCTGACACGAGTTCTAGTGAATCCGATGACAACCTCGATAAAACTCCGGTTGTGAAGAA